TATTTCATGATAGTGCCAGGCTCAGCACTAAAGCTCAGCCCAGCCTGCCGTGAGAAGTTACCCTCAGTGTGGGGTCTGGAGGATGTGACTGCACCTCAAATTGACTCAAGGCAAATTTCTGGCCCTGAGTAGGTGCCCCGGGGACACAAAGGCAAAGGACCCTGCCTCTGCCTTCATGGACTCTCAATGAGATTTGAGGTTTGGGGTGAGCTACTCATCAGTACCCTCATTTTGTTTGCTCACTTTTGAAGCAGGAAAAATGTGACTGAATCTCACTTTTCTTGAACCTAAACCAGCATCCCCGCAAGAGCCACCCCTCCTCAAGGCTTGGGCTCACTTGTATTATTCCTGCCCTCCCTGTTCCAGGCTGTGGGCTCCAGCCCAGAGTCAGAGAAACCACCCAGTGTTTAGTGACCAGTGGCATCTGGTGTGGTTGGCGCTCCACGCAGGCTTATGCTGAGTAAATACATAGGAGACAGTGAGTCTTACGGGCAAGTCAAAATCTCCTCTCTCCCCAAAGGTGTCTTTGGTACACACTTCCCAGAACAATTAAAAGGATAAAGAAAATAAAAACCATGTTGCCCTTGTTTGGAATTGTGTGTTCTCTGAGCTTTGGCTGCATGAACCCACTAACATCCTGACCATCATTATTCTCAAATTATAGGTGATGACACAGAGACACTGAGAAGTCAAGTAACTTGGCCAACGTAATATGGCTGGAAAGTGGCCTCTACATCCATTTCCTCAGAAGGTACCTAACTCCTATTAAGTGCCTGCCATCAGCTGGGGCCTGTGTTAATCATTCATAAATATTTTCTACTTGAATCCTTTCAAGAAGTCTGAGGATCACCATGATCTGCACTTCAGAGATAAGGAAACTGAGCCACAGAGAAGCTAAGTAATTTGTCCCACGTCAAACAGCTATACACAGAAGAGCTAGAATTTGAAACCAGGTCAATCTGACCCTTGACCTGGCTTTTTACTAGAACATACAGTTTGAGAAGAAAAGAGCTGCTTCAGCCTCTAAGAAAAGTCCTCTTGCAGAAAAATCAACAGGGAAATCCTCTCTTTCATTCTGTTGAAAATAAAAACCTTCCTAAGCAAGAATAGGGAGGTATATAAACTATTGTTTAGTGTCTCTGTTCATGAGAGGCAAATAACATCCATAGATCATTCCCAAATCTTATTTTAGGTTTGAGTCCTAAATTCCTCCAAACCTCTTATCTGATTTTTTAAAAATGAGAGCGTAAGAAATATAGTTGCATACCCTTTCTTGGCTATGCTCACTCTCAATTCACTAGTAAAAGGAGGGACAGAGCCATATAGTCACCAACTGGAGAAGTTGTCCCTGGACAATTGTCCAAATTGAGGCTCCTTTATCCTCCAACTGCTAAGAGCATATTTCTCAGACTCTTCAGTTATGGGAATTGACAAAGAGAAGTGGCCACACTGGCATAGATGGTCCAAGAAGTGACTGAACTCTCAAGGACTTTCCAGGGCCATCCTGTGGCACAATGGAAAGGAGGCCATAAAGCACCCACTGGCCACTTTCCCCTCCCTCAGAGCTGCTGTAGATCTCGGGAGAGCAGAGCCACGCTGGTGGGGCAGAGGCCCTGAGCCCATCGCAGGAATCCACAGGGCCAGCCAACCTGCTTTAGCTACTCCACTGACCCAGGTGTCAAATGGCACAGAGTTACAGGGAGTCAGCCCAAGGTGCAAAGCACAAAATGTCATACACCAGGTACCCAATGGTGACAGACACACAAGGGAGCAGTGCAGAAAGGGAAACCATGGACACTTCTGACAGCTGCTACCAGGGTATGAGCATGGATTGGGCGCATGTCCTGAGCCTCAATGTACTGAGAGAGGACAAAAACCATAGTCCCTGAAAAACAGGCCTCTCTCCTAGGATCAGTTCATTCTGGCTTCCCTATCTCCACCCTCATGCATGGGGGGAGGGAGAAGGCTTTAAAAGAAGATCCTCCTCCTGCTTGTCTATTGAAAAAAGGACTGTACTGGCCACCATCCACACATTGGGGAAAATGTTTGTACATCAAACATTTCACCTGGGGTTGGAGCTCAGTGGCAGAGCACTTGTCTAGCATGTGTGAGGCACTGGGTTTGATTCTCAGCACTGCATATAAATAAATAAAATAAAGGTCAATTCATATAAATCATTTCACCTTCAGTCCAGCAAATTCACCAACATACTGGGCAGTTGTGCAAGACATGGCCAAGACTTGAAAAGCAAGTGGCTGACTTTTATGTAGCTTGGAGCTTGGATGTTACATGAGATGTTAAATAGATCCTTGCAGCCACAGACTACACTTAAGTAAGTCCTAAATTGTGAGATTCTGCTTAAATGATGAAGTTCATAACATCAAATATGTGGTTAAAAACAATTTCTGGTTTGGATCAGTAACATGGATGTTAGGGGGAAAGTTCTGAGTTATAAATAAATATTAGGATAATAATATTGTGTGCAGAAATCCATGTATTTGTGCCAAACTTTTCTTGTTCTCTTTGTTGTGTTGTATCTGGGTTATGTCTACAACATAATTTAAAAAAAATATTGTTTTGATTTTTTGTTTGGGTTTTTAAGGTTTTTGAGACATGACCTTGCTAAATTTCAGAGGCTGGCCTTAAACTTGCGATCCTCCTGCCTCAGTCTTCCAAGCCGCTGGGATTCTAGGTGTGTGCCACAAGCCTGGCTAACATACAATTACTTTTTAACCAACTGGCTGTGAGCAAAGCGTCTGCATTCTGGTGAGGATCTTAACTGTACTTGGAAACAAACGCAGGGGCGAAGATACAAGTGTAATGTCATGATAAAAGATAAAGCAAATAGCTTCAGAAGTAACAATCCCATCACCTTCAAATACTCTGAAAACTGAATGATGACCCATATGCCAATGGCCTGAATTCTAATTTGACTGTAATGTGATTGCAGGAACCAAGTATCCTTTGGAACCCTGTTTGAGAAAGCCTACCTGGATCATTTCCAAGAGCTTCTTTTCATCTCATAAGAATTCTTGAAAAAAGATAAATTCTCAGACAATAAATTCTCAGGTTTTAAACCCTGGCGATGTAATGTGCCGACCAAATCATGGTGAACTCCCAGACCTGGAGGATAGTTTTGCTTGCTCTCCTCCTGTGTTCTGGAATTGGCTCTGCTGTTTCATCCATCTGCTGAATTGGCTGGGCTGTTTTGGGCTGACTGACTCCCATTTTCCTGGTTCCTTTCAGCTCTGGGGAGTTCACGTCTCCCTCTGATCTTTTCAGAGGTCAGTTTTCATGGTGAGAACCAGTTAAACTCCTTGGTATTGTGATATTGGTCTCACGCTGCTTGACAAGAATTCCTCGGAAATTCTAAAATATGGCAAGCACCCACTTTGACAAACTTTGAGAAGACAAATGAATTCCCAGGCCCACGAGGGGCAGAACACAGTCTATCCAGGGCCTTGGAAAATGACAAGGCTCTCTGGGCCATGCCCTCTCAAGGCTGCCTGGAGATGCTGACGAACTGCTTCATAAAGGAGAAATAATGTTTTCCTTTAAGAATCCCAATGTGGCAGGAGGCCCTGGCAAGGACTCCCTACCAAAAGAGGGAGACTTTCAATTGGAATAACTTCACTGGAGCTCTTGACCAAGACAGTAGCTATTAAAAGGCTCCTGGTTAGTGGAGAGGCCATCAGCCGCCAGGCAAAGCAGGAAAGGGTTTATTTTCCTGGCACAGCCACAGTTGAAGGGACAGCCACACCAGTGGAGAGGGGCACATGCATCCCTCCTTATGCGGATGATGTAACCAAGTCCCTGGGGGCTGTCGGGCCTGTAAAGAGACTCATCCACTTGGAGTTGTTGAAATGGGCATATGCAAAATAAATGGCAGGTCTAACCTAATCATCTCTTAGGCTTGGCCAAAGCCAGCCCTTTAGACTTAGAGAGAGGGAGGCTGGGCTCTGAGTGTCATACAGGGCATGATGGTCGGGTTCCCAAGTCCATTCGCTCAAATCCTACAATACGCTAGCCACCTGTGATTCCCAATGTGTCTTAAACACCCTTTACTGCTGTGTGTGACTCACACTGTCAAACAGCAGACTTGAAGGTACTGGAGAACAGGGCCATGCTCTAATCACTGATGTTGAGGGCTAAGCACATTCCAGTGGTTAACATGTGGTTATCAACTGAACCCAATCAAGTCACCACACATGCCATTATTTCTACGCAAAGATGTTTTCCAAATTCCATACATCAGAGCTACCAATAAATTTAACTGTACCAAATATTTTTGGCGAGTAGGTACAGGAAAAACAAAATAGAGAAAAAAAAGACAAATTGATTTTTGGAAAGCCAGCCATGATCTATTGGGATATCCCTATATTAAGTAAAGACTAAATTGACCTCTAAATATATTTGCATGACCGATGAGTTCTGACAGGAATTTGGGGCCTTAAAAAAACAGAACTCTCCTAATTCTCTACAAATGGATATGTTGGTCGATCAGGCTACTCTTCTTTTAAAACTCTTAAAGGGATTTCAGAATTATTAGGTTTAAAACTAATAGGCCAAGCTATTCTGTTCTATGAGTGCCCAGAACCACCGTCCTGTTTGGATCTCAGGTGCTATTCCTGTTGGAAACTTCCTTAGTTGACATCTATAAATCCAAGCTCATCTCCATGTGAACCCTGCAGCCTCAGCAGAGCATCCCCTGAGCCCTCAGAGATCTCTGTGGACAGATGTGGTACCCTGAGTCCCCGGGCCTAACTCGGGCAATT